TGGCCTATCTGCATTGTGGCCACCATAGGGACTAAAACGTGGATTTTACGTTATAAGCCATCAAGCTTAACGCCAAACCATTGAGGAGCATTTTGCCAGAATGATGGACTTTGTTTTTAAATTTATGTATTATAGTTGACTGAGGTAATGTTTCAAAATAACACTCATCATTGAATTCAAGCTCACGATACGTTCTTAAAGTTTTGACACATTTAATATTTACTCATAATTACTCTCTTCTTTAACAGGAAATATAAATAACTTCTTTAGTTAGAAACTGTTTCAATACGTATCGTTAAGTAGTGGCTAATATAGGATGCAGCAATACATGTAAGGATAATTATACAGTTGTCATTTGGTTGAAACGCATAACATTGGATGATTAAGTTAAACTTCAAAACTAACAGAGAAGTTTGTTTGTTTTGAATTGCGCGCAAAGCTACACGAGGGCTATCTGCGTTAGCCGTCCCTAATTTAGCAGTGTAAGACTAGAGGGAAGACAGCTAGTTATCACCACCCACCGCTAACTCTTGGGCTACTCTTTTACCAACGAATAGTGGGATTGACCGTCACATTATAACGCCCCCACGGCTAAAAGGGCGAGTATGTTTGGTGTGACGGGGATTCGAACCCGCGACCCTCAGATTGCGAGTCGAGTGCCCTAACCACCTGGCCATGGTTTGTTTGTTTTTTGTTAAGCACAAAGTTACACAATGCGTCATCTTTGCTCTGCCCATCACAGGTATCGAAACCAGATTTTTAGCGTCTCAAACTTGCAGACTTACTGCTGAGCCACTGGGGGAAAGTTAAAAAACAGAACAAAAAATAATGATCCATATTTCTTCGGGAACGTTTTGAGACAATTATATCGAAATCCAGAAAAGAGTTCATTAGGTTTTATGCTTTATGTCTTGTTAGCTGTTCATCATTCTTATTTTGGAACTGCAAAGCTTGTTTGTACACTTGTTTTCACCAGTTTTTACAGAAAAATAACTTCATGTCAAGCGGGTATACATAGTTTAAAATCTGTAGCATTAGGCTAAAATAAACCGTTTACGAGACTTAGCTATAGCGCTGTCTTATGATCGATCTGAAGTTCATTGACTAAAATCCAATCGGTATTTTCCAGTACCAAATCCAGATTTATTTACTTTTCAAACTGGTTTAAACCTGATCGTTGAACCAGCGACTTTTAGTGAAAGGGTCATTAGATGTAAATACACAATGAGGCTGACCTGGTATGGTCTGATGGTTAGGGCACTCGACTCACACAGGAGGTCATAGTGGCAAGTTAAAATAATGCGTTGACAATGTACGCTATGTGGTGACATTAGGAAGTATTTATTAGTTTGTTTAATACACGAGCTAGTTAACTTTAAATTTTCAAATAAAGAGCATGGCAAGGCCGAACATAGGCACGGCATGGCCAGGTCGTTAGAGCGCTCGATTCGCAATCTGCGGGTCGCGGGTTCGAATTCCCGTCACACCAAACATGCTCGCCTTTTCAGCCGTGGGGGCGTTATAATTTGACTGTCAATCCTACTCTTCGTTGGTAAAAGAGTAGCTCAAGAGT